GATGAGATCTTTCCATCTTGCGGAATTAAACGCGTTGCGTATGTCAATTGCTACCAACGCGCAGAAGCTCTTCTTTTTCCCAGGTCCCAATTTGTTTTTTCCTGCTTTGGCTATGTCCACAACTGCCTGGATGGCATCAACCGTGGACTTGCCTTTACGGAAACCAAATTGGTGATCGGATAGACGATTCTCTTCGGTCAAGTGGCTTTGCATTCTCTGCAGAACCATATCCTCTAGAAGTTTACCCATCGTATCTAGCAGGCATATAGGCCTGTACGATGAAACCTTATCTAGAGGTTTTTCACCTTTCCTTAGGAGGACTAACCTCTGTCGCTTCCAGTCGCGGAAGAACTCTCCTCTCTCAAGGCAAAGATTGAAGCATCGAAGCAGAATCTGGGGTAAAGTGTCGATTACCAACTTTAGGATCTCGTTACTTATCCCATCGATTCCAGGCGCCTTGCCTGTTTTCAATCTTTTGCCTGCTTTTTGCAGTTCACTAAGTGTGAAGAGTTCTTCCTCTTCGACTTTGCAAAAACTCCAGTCCCTTCTAAGGTATGGCTCCGCAGGAGGAAACAAAGAACTTATTATCTTTCTGACCCAATCGGGATTGTCCAGGCCGGGGGTCTTTTGCCTCGTCACTAATTTCTTAGTTATGATTTTAAAAGCCAGACCCCATGGGTCCTTATCGACTTCCTCGATTAGGTCCTTCCAGCTACGGCGTCGCGACTTGCGGATCTCTTTCTTGAGGTCCTTTTTCGCCTCCTTGAAAGCCTCTTTCAGCAAGGGATCTCCCTTAGATCGGGTATATGTCCTTCTTGCTTTGAGGCATTCCTTTCTCAAGGAGGCTAGCTCCTCTGACCACCAGTGCAAGGATTTTCTAACTGGAGTGGCGCCTTTGCGTGGCATTGACGCATTGCAAGCGGTGACTATCATGTTCCTCACCGCTCGCACCTCCCCATCCAGACTGCTCGGCCTCTTCACCCAGCCCAAGTCCTCAATTAAAAGGGCTTCTCTTAGGGACCGGCCGAACTTTTCCTTGTCGAGTCTCTTCATATTCCACGAGGAGGTTTTGCGACTAGGAGCATCCTGTCTTTTTCCTCCTCGTGTGTCTCCCATAGAGACTGAGAACTCAATGTACTGGTGGTCACTTGCGGTATATTCCTCTGAGACCCGCCAGTCGGTTATGCGGCTAAATAGTTTAGACGATGCGATTGTTAGATCTATAATTGATCCGATCGCACCTCGTCTAAAAGTCCATGTATTGCCTCGGTTTACTGCCAATAAGTCGTTTCTGGAGATCATTTCTCCAATACGAATTCCTCTCTTGTCGAGTCTCGTCTCACCCCACTCTGGCGACTTTGATTATTATTATTATTATTATTATTATTATTATTATTATTATTATTATTATTATTATTATTATTATTATTATTATTATTATTATTATTATTATTATTATTATTATTATTATTATTATTATTATTATTATTATTATTATTATTATTATTATTATTATTATAATAATTATTATTATTATTATTATTTTTTTTTATTTTTTAATTATTATTATTCATTATTTTTATTTTTTAATTATTACTATTTATTATTTTTTAATTATTATTATTATTCTTATAAAGGAACTAAAAATTAATTATTTTAAAAACCTTGTACGTGCTTTTACAAGCAATGGCTATTTTGCAGCAAGGGAAGGAACCAAATTCCTGAATTAAGGTAAAGAAAATAGAAATTCCTTGTTTTGAAAGAACATTTGCCGTAGACTTGTATAAAAAAAAAACCAGTAACCTTCAGGTAAAAGCAAACAGCCTCCACCAGTCATAAATATTACTTCTCGGCTTATCATTGGGTCAAATTTTCTCAAAAAAATCAAAGTTGGTCATGGGTCTTTCAATTTTTGTAAAACTTGGTATAAAGGTAGTGTTTTATGACAGAAGATTTTAGGAAAAAAAGATTTTTCAAAATTTTCAAAATTGTGGATTTTACCGGGCATGAAACATTAAAGCACATTCTTTTTAAAAAACGAATAACTTTTATCCATTTACTTAGATTTTGTTTATATTTTAGGTAATAATAGTTGATTATCTAACAATTTAAAGTGCAATATTAAAGAAAAAAAATCCAAAATTTACCCGGAAAAAAAGTCAAAAAAAATTTTGATTTCATTTTTTCGAGCATAAGCACCCCTTCGATTTTTTGTAACTATAATATTTGGATTCGTTATCTTCTCCAGAATTTTTTGCAAAAAAAAATCCCTGGAGACTTTAAAACTAACCGAAATATCGAATTTTTTGTCTCGAGGTGCACATATATCGATCTCGCGTAAACACGCCTGAGATGTGCACCAAACGTTCTTAAGCGTGAATTTTCGCATTCTTATATTTTTTTGTTAATTTTGAGTAAAAAAGGAAGGTTTGAAAATCAAGTTTTGCAATTACAAATTTGTTTTTAAACAATTTTGAATCTCAAAATGTGTATGTAATATATAATGGGCAAATTTTCTCAAGTGTACCATAATGTCAAAATTGCAAGTTGTTAGATCGGGCTAATATTTTCACAGTATTTAGAACTATGAATCAGTACTTAAAACCACCAAGTAATTATGAAATTTTATTTAAAAAAATGTAGGGGGGAGGGGGTTTAAGATTTTGGATAAGTATAAACAGTGAGTTTTATAAAAAATCGTAGCTTTTATATAATAAAGAAAAAAATTGTGACCTATATGTTTTTGGTAGGTTTTTTTCTGCTCTATCAAATAGTGAGAATTTTTTTTAAAAATTCAAAATTTAACCCTTCTTTTAAAAATTAAAATTTTTTTTTTAACTATACTTCCCGGCTTAATATTTTTTGACATTTTCTAAAGTAAATTTTTTTAATTTTTACATTTTTGATGTAAGAAGAGATGATTATTTTTTATCTAAATAATTTTTTATTATTTTAATATCAATATCAAGCGTGATACACGCATAAGGTGTTTAATATTTTATTTAAACAATCGTTGCAAATAACTGAAATATATTTTTTTAAAGTAGAATTATATAAACATTTGATTTAAAAAAAACTAACACTTTATCTTTATTTTTCTAAATATTTATTTGTAAAACGTTAGTTTAATCAGAATACTTCATTGTAAAATATTTCAATTTTTAATAATTAATTAATTAATAATTCAAAAAAAAACTTCATTTTTTTCATTTCATAAATTGAAAGTACACATCATAAGCTTTCTTTTGGTACAAGAAAAAAAGGGCTTTTTTGGAAAAAAAATCAAAAAAATTTTTAATTTTCAAAAAAGGGTTAAATTTTGAATTTTAAAAAAAAATTCTCACTATTTGATAGAGCAGAAAAAACATATAGGTCACAATTTTTTTTCTTTATTATATAAAAGCTACGATTTTTTATAAAACTCACTGTTTATACTTATCCAAAATCTTCAACCCCCTCCCCCTACATTTTTTAATAAAATTTCATAATTACTTGGTGGTTTTAAGTACTGATTCATAGTTCTAAATACTGTGAAAATATTAGCCTGATCTAACAACTTGCAATTTTGATATTATGGTACACTTGAGAAAATTTGCCCCTTATATATTACATACACATTTTGAGATTCAAATTTGTTTAAAAACAAATTTGTAATTGCAAAACTTGATTTTTTAACCTTCCTTTTTTACTCAAAATTAACAAAAAAATATAAGAATGCGAAAATTCACGCTTAAGAACGTTTGGTGCACATCTCAGGCGTGTTTACGCGAGATCGAAATCTGTGCACCTCGAGACAAAAAATTCGATATTTCGGTTAGTTTTAAAGTCTCCAGGGATTTTTTTTGCAAAAAATTCTGGAGAAGATAACGAATCCAAATATTATAGTTACAAAAAAATCGAAGGGGTGCTTATGCTCGAAAAAATGAAATCAAAATTTTTTTTGACTTTTTTTCCGGGCAAATTTTGGATTTTTTTTCTTTAATATTGCACTTTAAATTGTTAGATAATCAACTATTATTACCTAAAATATAAACAAAATCTAAGTAAATGGATGAAAGTTATTCGTTTTTCAAAAAAATGTGCTTTAATGTTTTATGCCCGGTAAAATCCACAATTTTGAAAATTTTGAAAATTCTTTTTTTCCTAAAATCTTCTGTCATAAAACACTACCTTTATACCAAGTTTCACAAAAATTGAAAGACCCATGACCAACTTTGATTTTTTTGAGAAAATTTGACCCCACTATAAAGCTTGTCCTGGACCGTCCAATGTACAAAAACACGAATAAACATGTATTCAAAAATTTCGATTTTAAAACCCTTATTTAGCCAGTTACACAAGCCATTTTGGGTCCTTCCTTTGCTGTAAAATCGCAGTTGCTTTTTGAAGCTCGTTCTTGAAGCACGCTCAAATGTGTTGAAACTTTTATTTATTCCTGATTATTGTATTATTTGTATATTTATATTATGGCGGATGTAAATGTGTGTGAAATGATGGAGTGTGATCTCAGTGATAATGAAGAAATTAATGAAACTAAAGATAGTGTTATTGATAGATTTTTAAAGTTGCGTGAAAACAGTGAGATGAAGCATGTTTTAACTGTTGAAGAGAAATTATTACTTTTGAAAGTAAGAAGCTTTTTTGAAAATGAAAAAGAAACTAAAAACTGCCGTGCACCTGTTGTCAAACGTACATCGGAATGTTTACGAATTTCTGTAAGCACAGTAAAACGTGTAACTCGAGAAGCTGCATTATTGAATTTGAAGAAACCACATCAAATGTGGACGGCCACCAATCTACATTGACGACTTTTTTTTAGGAGTTGTGAGAAGGAAAGTTTTTGATTTTTATATGTCAAAAACTTTTCCCACTGTAGAAAAACTTCTTAAAACCCTTAAAGAAGACGTTTCTGATTTTCCCAACATATCTCGGACAACTTTATGGAGGCTTCTAAAAAAATGAATTTTAAATATGGAAAGTTGAATAAAAAGCCTATCCTCATGGAAAGTAAAAAAATTACTGAAAGTCGGAGGTACTATTTGATGCAAGTACAAAAGTTCAGGGACATGAATTGGTCTATTTTTTTTACTGATGAATCATGGTGCGGTGCAAATCATACACTTTCCTATGGATGGATAGAGCAAGTTTTGACAGAGTATGTGGACAATTACGATATTTACCGTTCAGGGGTTCAGAAAATTGGAAATTATCGAGGCGGTTTTGTTACCCCGTCAGGCGCTGGTAAACGTGTGATTTTATTACACATTGGAAATGAAGATGGCTTCCTCCCAAACTGCATGAAGTGTTTCATTGGAAAGAAAGGTTCAGCCGATTACCATGGTGAGATGAACGCTTTACATTATGAAGAGTGGTTCAGGGACGTTCTAATGAAAGTACCAAAAAATTCTGTAATCGTATTGGATCAAGCACCGTACCATACGATGCTTGATCCAAATTTTCGAAACGTAACTACAGCTTGGAAGAAAAGTGACATTATTGACTGGCTAATAAAGAAAGGTGTCAACATTCCGGAAAGTCATTCTTCTTTTTGTGACATGAAAAGAAACGAATTATATCAGTTATCACAACAATTTCGTTATCCCAAAGTTTATCTTTTAGATACGATAGCACAAGAAGTAAGAAACGGAGAAGTAAAATTGTTGTGGCTTCCTGTTGCCCACTGTGAACTGAACCCAATAGAACTCATTTGGGCCTTCATTAAAAAACGCGTTGCTGCTACTAACAAAACATTTAAAATCCAAGACGTTTTGGAATTGTGTAAAGAAATAATGTCGAATTTGCCACCAAATTTGTGGAAAAATTGTGTGAGGCACGCAAAAGAAATTGAAAACGAATACCGAGGACGCCATTCTGCAATTATGGAAGCGATTCCAGTACAAGAATTTATTATTAACATCGGAGACGACAGCGAGGAAGACTTCTCTGACAATGAGGATAGTTTTGAAGATACAATTGTCTTCGCTGAGGACTGCAATAACATTTAACGTATGTATTTTCATAAATCACAAAAATCAATTTAGAATAATAAAAACAATAATAAAAATATTAAATAATATTAAATAATAGTAAATAATAATAATAATAATAATAATAATAATAATAATAATAATAATAATAACAATAATTATAACTCCGCTATGAACCGGTCCCAAGCCCGGGACTCCATCCTCTATGCTCATCTGCATCCATTTGTATATCGTTTATGCGAATGTGTGTATATGTGTGAAGTGGATTGGAGGAGGAGGAGGGTAGTTTGGGGAGCCTTTGAGGTGGGGATCATTTGGAGATCGGTATATTAGGACATTTTGGTGCGAATGGAGGGTATTGCTATAAACGTAATATCCCTCTGAATGGGCAAGAAGAATCTGAACCAGTGGGTTCAGTATGAAATTATTGTTTTCGTTTACTCCTTTTTTTATGATTGAGGAAGAAATAGCCTATAAACGGCATCTTCTATGAATGGGCAGTTGCTGTTGTCCACGCTCGTCATCCCTGCCGGCACGTCTGACCATGTTAAGTCATGCGCTCGCGACGCAGATTGGGGGGATTCAACTTGCGGGATAGCAGCAACTGATGTATGAGTCTGGAAGGTTTAAGTCTATAAACGACGCCTTCCATGTACGCGAATTGAATGGGAAACTCACTGGAGAGGCTTCTTCTTGAGTTTGAGTGTGGGATGCGCTATAAACGCGTCATTCCCATGATTGCGAAGCATGTAAGGGGATTTTCAGATGATCTCGGCTTCCGGGGCTCTGCAGGCAACATTAATACAAATACACTTTTTTTTTCCACACTGATAGGGGTACATTCATTACAATACAGAACACATGTACACTTACACTGCTAATCATCACACCCATATCGAACAACCAAATTACACGAAATGATGCAGAATTTAGATTCAGAAAAACGAGTTTACGGTGCAGGGGAGGGATACCTCAGTGCCGGCGCTGAAGGGGGTGAGAAAGTTGGCTCCCCAGTGTCGAAATCCCGCGACAACAGTACTGCAGTATTGGACACCTTGGGTCCTGCAGTATCTAATATTACAAGGCGGTCTGTAGAAGGTGAGAAGAGGACGGAGATGGAGGAGATATTATCCTCCAACATCTTCTTAAAAGAGTTCACTCCCTCTGAATGGATTGAGAGCTGGAAGGCAATGTTCCTACTCATGGAGAGGCAGTGTGAGGTAACGGAGGGGATTGTAAAGGCCCTTAAAATTGTAAATGAGGGATTCCTAAAAAATAATCCGAAGCATGTTAAAGATAGTGCAATCGAAGCTTTCCATTCCGGTCATAGTCTCTTTAGCATAGTCAAAGATTTGAGGGAGGAGGGAAGAGCCTTCTTAAAGAAACTAGAGGACTGTCCCCCCCACCCTTATAGAAGGATTTTAAGGCCAAGAGCTCACTCCCAGGGAACTCCCACTTCATTAAAAAAAAGGGGGGCTTCTAAGACACCTCCCATTAGGAAATCAAAAAAAAAGAAGGGGTCTGTATCGCCACAAAAATGTGCCGAAGAAACAGAAGCTAAAGGTCTCGGAACGGACAAGGAGACTGATAACGAACCCTGGGTTGAAGTAGTAAAAGGAGGGAAAAAGAATAAAAACGAAAAAGGAAAGGATAGGAAAAAAGATAATCCCGCGGGGAAGTCAAAGGGAAAAAAGAAGAAAAAAAAGAAGAGGGATACGGACGCGATTAAGATATCCGCGGTCGAAGGTCAAAATGTTGATCGCGTTATCGATGATATGTTTGCGGAAGTTAGACCCGATGAAACAAAAACAGAGATCCTGTCTGTTTGTAGAACTAGAAAGAACGACATCCTTTTGGTTCTAAAAAAGGGACAGGATCTCGGAGAGTTTAGTAACAACCTAACAACGGCCCTTCAAGGGAAAGCTGAGGTTACGACAATGGTTTCGATGAGGTCAGTTGAAATTGTGGATCTCGACGAGACCATAGGGGTTTCTGGAGTAATCCAGGCAGTCCGGGGTTTACTGGGCAAGTCCAATTTAGAGATTCCATGCCAATTGTTTACTCGGTATGGTAACACGAAAATAGCGGTGCTGCGTCTTCCAGTAAAAGACGCAGAGTCCCTTATTCAGATTGGGCGAGTAAAGATTGGCTGGGTCAATTGCAGGGTCCGTGTCAGGGTGGAGGTAGAGAGATGTTTTAGATGCCTCTGCTACGGTCACCTGGCACGCGGCTGCGGTGGCCCAGACAGAAAAAATGCTTGTTGGCGGTGCGGTAGCCCTGATCATAAGAGCAAGGATTGTAAAGTCGAAGCTCGTTGTATGACTTGCGTAGATAAAGAGAGGGATGAGGTAAAACACATTCCAGGGAGTAAGGCTTGCCCAGTGTACTGGGAAATCCTGAAAGGGCTGAAATCCAGAGCTCAGGTTTCTCCAGATTAACCTCGGTAGAGGTAAGATAGCGCAGGATCTCCTGATGCAGACTGCCAGGCAGAGGGGGGCCGATGTACTCCTCTTTTGTGAGCAGTATAAGAAGCCAGAGTTCTCTGACTGGTTTCAGGATGCATCAAGGAGGTCTGGAATTTACATATGTAACCCGAATCTCACCGTCGGTGACTTTCTGGAGACAGATAAAGGGTTTGTTTGGGCAGAGGTGGCGGGTGTACGTATTTACAGCTGCTACTTCTCCCCAAACGATCCCTTTGGAAAATTCGATGCCGAGATCCGCTCTCTTGAGGAAAGTCTTAGAACTTTCGGCGGGGACGTCCTTATTGCGGGGGACTTTAATAGTAAGTCTGCAGAATGGGGAGAGACCCGCCGGGACAGGAGGGGGATCTTGGTCAGCGACATGGTCTCGGCAGGTCAGCTGGCGGTGTTGAATCGGGGAAATAAGTTCACTTTCAGGCGGGGAATATCGGGATCTATTCTTGATTTAACAATAGCTTCTCCCCGCCTTGCCCGTAGAGTAAAAGAATGAAAGGTGTTGGACGAGGTAACCATGAGTGACCACCAGTACATTGAGTTTTTGGTCTCTGAGGAAAATCCAAACGGGTCTATCGGTCCTTATATAAAGGACAGGAAGAGACCCTCCTCGAACCTTAAGAGACTAAATAGGGAGAGGCTGGCGCAGTCCCTGGTCGAGTCTCGGCGTTTTAGAGAACTCGGCTGGGTAGCTAGACCAGTTACTCTAAAGGGGATAGTGCGAGAGGCGAGGCAAATTATTGTGGATGCTTGCAACTACTCTATGCCTCGCCGGCAACATAGAAGAACTAGAAAGGGTGCTCTGTACTGGTGGGACGATGAACTCGCCCGCTTGAGAAAAGAATGCAATGCAGCGAGGAGGAGATATACTCACTCTAAGGGTGACCTCTTGCTTCAAGAGAAATGGCATACAGCTAGACGAATCTTCAAGCGGGCGATAAGGAATAGTCAACAAAGGTGCTGGAAGGACCTAATAGGAAAGTCCGAGAAGGATCCATGGGGTTTGGCGTTTAAAATTGTGACTAAGAAATTAGTTTCAAAGCAGAAAACCCCTGGCCTGGACGATCCGCATTGGGTCCGTAAGATCATAAAAGCGCTGTTTCCCCAAGTGGAACCTACCCCTAGAGAGGACTACACTCTCTGTGTAGTTCAAGAGGAGGAGCTCTTCACGCTTGATGAACTGAGAAGGGTGTCGAAGGGATTGAGGAGCGGCAAAGCTCCAGGTAGGGACGGGATACCCAGCGAGATCCTCAAAGAGGTGGTCGCTGTCTATCCCGAGCTGCTTCTCAACGTCTTTAACGCATGTTTAAAAGCTGGAGAGTTTTTCGGGGACTGGAAAACGCAGAGATTAGTCCTTCTTAGAAAAGGGGATAAACCTCTGGATAACGTCTCATCGTTCAGACCAATTTGTTTATTGGATACGATGGGTAAGTTTCTAGAGGGTTTGGTTCTAGAGAGACTTCAAAAATTCCTGGTAGGCGAAAATAGCCTATCAGAAAACCAGTTTGGCTTTCGGAAAGGCCGGTCAACAGTGGATGCAATTCTTACTGTGGTTAACCAGGCGAAGAAAGCCAAAGAGGGCAAGAAGAAAGGATTTTGTGCTCTTGTGTCCATTGACATACGGAATGCGTTTAATTCCGCGAGATGGGACAACTGCATCAAGGCGCTAAAACGTAAAGGGGTACCCACCTATCTGTTGCGAATGATAGACAACTATCTTAGCGACAGATGGGTGGTATACGAGAGCAATGCATGTCATCTCAAGGAAGAAATGACATGCGGAGCTCCCCAAGGATCAAAGGTAGGTCCATTCATATGGAACGTTATGTATGACGATTTCCTGAGGATGGAGTTACCCGAGGATACGTTTTTGGTCGGCTTCGCGGATGACGTAATTCTAGTGTGTTATGCACTGGAGACCAAAGTCCTTGAGATAAAGCTCACCGAAGGTCTGCGGCGGGCTGAGCGTTGGCTTAAAAAGCACAGCCTGCAAATGGCTTTGGAAAAGACCGAAGCCTTGCTCGTCACAGATCGGAGAGTTTTTGATGCTCCAAAGGTAAAAGTGGGAGGAATAGAAGTCTCATGGGGAAAAAATTTAAAGTACCTGGGAGTGCTGTTGGATAAAAGGTTAAACTTTAGCCAACATACTAACATCATAGCACTCAAAGCCGCCGAATGTATGCGCAGCCTATCACGGCTAATGCCTAACATCGGTGGTCCCAGGGAAAAGAAACGGCGCTTGGTGGCGACCGTGGGTCTATCAAAGCAGCTTTATGCTGCCCCTGCGTGGGTGGAAGCCCTTAAGACCCGCGGCATCTTGGACGAATTAATCTCTGTGCAAATTAGTTCGGCACGGAGAGTAGTCTCGGCCTATAGAACGGTGTCTGCTTGCGCTGTTCTAGTTCTTGCGAGCCTTCCGCCAACAGACCTGTTGGCGAGAGAAAGGCAGGAAGTCTTTTTACTCAACAAAGACCGAGATAGCTCGCAGGAACAAAGAAACAGCGGTAGCCGAAAATTGGCTATCCGAAAAGCGGCAAGAAGCAGACTCGTTGAAAATTGGCAAGGAAGATGGGATGGGGAATCCAAAGGAAGGTGGACATACCGCCTGATTCCTCACCTCGCCACCTGGTTACAAAGAAAGCACGGGGAAGTTGGCTATTACCTTACACAAGCATTGTCAGGACATGGTTGCTTCGGTCAATACCTCCATAGATTCAAGATCAGAGAAGAGGCAAAATGTGTGTATTGCGACGCTGAAATTGACGACGCGGAACACACTCTCTTCTTCTGCGGGCAATGGAGTGAACTTAGAAGAGCCATGTTTGACGCGGTGAAAACTCAATTCACCGCTGACAACATGGTCTCTATTATGTTAAAAAGCGCTGAATCCTGGCACCATATCGAGTCATTCATTAATCTAATAATGAGGACTAAAGATATGGATGGCAGGAGGAAGTAGAAACGGAGAATCCTGAAGCTCAGCTGGGGGCGCGCGATGGCGGGAGGAGACAAACTTTAGTCTCCTCCCTCCCTCGCGTGCCTCCGGTTTATAGGATCCTGGAAATGGAAGAAATTTTTTCTTAAAAGGGGACCACTGCTTGCGAAGTTAGAAGCCAAAAGGTAGTTCCGCAAGTGGATGTTATGGTCTGGAGTAAGGGTGTGGTTTTTAGTGGGTCGGCGTGAGCTGCCATCCCCACATAACCAAGAAGTACGGGCTTCTTGGTATCTGTTTGCAGATTTTCCACTTCCCTCGAAAAATAAAAAAAAAATAACAATAATTATATTAATAATAATAATAATTATAAAAATAAAAATAATAATAATAATAATAATAATAATAATAATAATAATAATAATAATAATATTAATAATAATATTAATAATAATAATAATAAAAGTAAAATTAATAGTAATATTAACAGTAAAAATCATAATAATAACATTAATAATAATACTAATATTTATATTTATAATAATAGCAATAATGAAAATAACAACAACTTTAACAGTAATAAAAGTAATAATAATAATGATTAATACTGACGTTGATAATTTTAAATTTTATTATTATATTTTTTCGTTTCTACGCCTATGGACTTTGTAGCACTCACTACTTCTGAATTTCTTTTCAGGCATAAAGGATACAAAGAAAGGACCAAGTCTTTTCCTGATTGTGGTGATAGTATCAGTTTCAAGAGCCAATAAAAAATAGTGATGAAAAAAGAATCTCGTTCTAAACTTATAATAATTTGTATTGTTACTTAATTTTGGACTGGGATGTTTTGATCGGATATTATTCGGATTGTTATAAACAATTTCTGAATTTTTGGCACACAGATTTTGGATTGTTCCATACTAGTTTCGGACTAAATCTTTTAACTGGATTAAATTGGGATTATTGCGGACTGATTACGGGCTTAATTCATAAACATTCAAGATTACTCCAGACTGATTTAGAATTTATAATTTCGCTCAAATTAATGTTAGACTAACATGGATCATTTTCGTACAATTTTCGCCCAAGAACATTGTGTCCTGTTTACACTTACTGTTACCTTTAATTCATAGTCAATTATAAATATATACTACTACAAATATTAATATTTTTATTTATTTTTGTTTATACACCCGTCTTAAGCCTACAATCTTGGCTATACAAGTGTTTTTACAACCGTAGAACATTCCTTACAAACATTTCTTAATACCAAATTTTTGCGCCTACAGAGCAAATTAAAAATTAGGAGTACTCGCATTTGCCTGGACCACCCTAATGGGTTTTCTCGCCAGTGGAGAGGGAAACTGTAGAAAACCTCTCCGAGTACAACCGGTTTATCGACAGTCGAATTCTAATGGTGTGTACCGGACAATAATCGACGGTGCACATCATTATACTTCGACGTCAAACCTCCCGCTCAGATTATCTCACGTGCCGGAAAAATCCCAGGCTAATGGGCGCGAACCAAGTACCCTTGGTCCTAAGCGTCCGCCGAGCCAGGCATTTATCCGACCGAGCTAATCTGTCGGTACAAATATTAATATATACTACTACTATTAATATATATTACTTGAACTTTCTGGACACAATTCTATAAATAAAAACCTAATGCATTAATATTTATTATAGACAAAATAACGGATATAACTGCAATTGAAGTAATCAATAATAAGTTGAAATTAAAACAAGAGGATTTAGTAGAACGCAAAAGAGAAAGAGAAGAAACTAATGCTTACCGTGACAGAAAACTTAAGTTAATGGAGGAACATCATTTATTCCTTCAGAAAAAAGAAAATGAAAAATTAAATCTTTTAAAAGAAATTAAAGATTTAATCTTATTAAAGAAGATATAACGTTATTTACATTTGCATGCTTAAAGTTAATTTCAGTCTTACATACTGAAAAAATTCGTACCATTTTAAATTAATATTTTGGGTAAAGTTTTCATTATCTTTGTCCTGCAATTTTTCTGCTGGATATCTATTTTTCAATTCTACTATTATATACTTTTCTGAATATTTGATATTTACATCACCAAACTTCATATACTATTATTATTTGTTTAATGTTGCAATTTGTATTAAGTGAGTACTTTTAATAAAGTAAAAGTCCATTAAAAGGTTGACGTGGTTTTGTATAAATTATTTTAACTTACCATAAAACTTTAACATATCATAAATAATTTACTTTTTCAGTAATATGAAAATGATTAAATTAAAAAGTAGGATTATTTAAAAAAAATTACCGTTTACAAAGTTTTTAAATGTTGAAACATCAATAATTTTCTAATATATGATCATAAGTAGCAAAAGCAGCAGAACATCTTAGATGTATCTTAGTTTAGTATTTACGGATATTGGAAAAACTTGTTTAAACATAACCCAGTGTGTCTACTGAAAATATGATTTAAAATTCCAAGACATTTTCAGGTCATTCCAGGACAGAGTTTTTATTTTTCCAAAACATTAAAATGGATAATATTATTTTATATTACGATTAGC